CCCCAAAACCCCAAAACCCCAAAACCCCAAAAGTTTGGGCTTATATTGAAACAGATATTGACTTTAAGTGAACTCACCGGGGTTTTTGGGCAGGCTTACTGAGCCAGAAGGGTGCTAATACTTCGTTTAGGATAACCAGTATGCATCCAAATTGGTGATTCTGAAGAGGAGAATGAGGCCTTCAGAATCTAACATTAGGAGATCGTATTAGAAGCCTCTTCAAGCTGATAAAGTAGAATTTTGGATTCATGTGAATGTAAAGTAGTATGGTAGATTGCTCAATTTTTATACGAGGAAATGTACCATTCTTATGTCTAATTCTCATTTACTATTTTTGAGCAAAAATTGAAGATGACTAGAGGTTGATAGATCAAAATATTTATCCTAATGATATAAATTAGTTGTTTACATAACACCTGATTAAAGCTTAGGAATGTTGCTCGAATAATTACTTTTAGACAGCAATCCTCCAAATGCCATTGAAATTAAACAAATAAAAATGTGGTTTCCTTAGACCAGAGATTCAGGATAATGTTTGATTCTCTTCATGCAGCTATCCTTCAGATAAAATGTTAAATTGCCACTAAATTTTGTGGATAAAAAATGTTAGTTTTAATCTTCAAGCATGTATAGTTACTTACTCTTTCTAAAGCTGGATGTCCTTTAAAATATAATACTTTCAATTTCTTGGAGTAAAATTTGTAAACAAATTAGGGCTGGGCCTATCTTGAATTTTAAGGTAAAATTGACTTGATACATTAGGCTTCCTATCGGATTAATTTATTATGATAAATCTTGTAATTCTTATAATATGTCTCGGAGAACTGATATAATAAACATATTCGGCTAATTTGGGGTTATGATGGTATTTTTCAAAAGATTTTATTTACACTTTTCTAAGAAAATTATATGAATCTTGCGAAAATGAGTATTTATCTAATGAATCCTATTATGTTTCTCCTTAAACATCAAAAGCGAAAGATTAAGAATACCAAGCCCTCACATTGAATTTACCTCAACGCTTTTACTTCTTCTTTACATGTATCCCATCATCCAACTCTCTAATATTAGATCCTAAAACTCCAAAATGGCTTGTTCTAGCTCTAGCCCATCCACAAAAAGAGAGATAACATACTTATCCACACTCTACTCTTCAATATATAGTTTCATTTATCATTAGAGACTTATTCTGCACTCTGAATAATGAAGGGAGAATATCCTACTTCTCTTCTTCTCTTATTTTTCTACTCAGCATGAGCTTTCCAGTGATCAATTTTCCTCTGGCTTCTTCCTTTGCTCTGCCATGTCTTTCCTTTCGATCTGATTTAAGCCACTATATATCGCTATGTTTTGTCTTTGATAATCTATCCTTACCGATAGATTCCTGATTCATAGAGGTGATCTATTGAAATTTTAAGGGGCTCTTGGTTATTAGTGTACTCATTTTTGTATTATGCAGATCAATGGTTTTTGTTTCATTTTAAACAATATCTATGCTCTATTAATAATCGATGTTGCTTCCTTGAGAAATCTGTTTTTAGTCAATATTTTTATTTAAAACGTAACCACATATTAATACTTTAGGTCTTCTCAATTAATTTTTATTTACACTTAGTCAAAAGCTTCCTTTTTGAGATCAACAGAAGATTCTGAGTCTTCGAGCTAGTTGGATGGAAATTTAGGATATCGAAGTTATTACAACCATAGGGTATCATTCCAGGCGAGATTCCATTTGAAATATGCTAATAAATACTCTAACTATTTAAAGAATTTCGTTTAAAAAATGTGTAAAACCATACTAATATATCATAAATGTTCTTAAAATAAATTTTGATCAAATTAAGAACTTTAGAACAGCCTTTAATTTCTCTAGAAATATGACTCTTAACTAGCCAGATCTTATCTTGATTTACAAAATAGTCTCGACTTTCTGCAGCTTGTTGATTTAGATGAAATATTCTTTGTTAATAGTCACACCTCTCCATAGTGTTATAATTCTGAAGATGGTTTTTACCAATCATGGGAGAAATATTGTATTAGCTTCAGCATATTAGTTTATTCTTCCTTACTTTAGTAGTCTTTTGTGCCGATCTTTGCTTAGATTTGTACAGTTATTATTTGGGATTTATTGGCATACTCTGCTTTTTGGATTGTCTTCAAAAGAGCTGACTTGGCTCCTGTAATAGGTCTGGTTTATGTTTTTACTCCAGTGAAGACTCAATTTAGTTCAAAGCCTGCAAAGTAAGCTTCTTCCTGACTAAATTACTGAAGTTGGTCAGATAATCTCTAATGTTTGTGTAAACCTTGTTTGTGATCCTGAAAATAATTCCTACCAGAGCCAGGTGCAGACATTAGGGAGGTAAATATCTTGATAGAGAATGTGTTTGCTACCTTCTTACCAGCCTAGTTAAATGTTGAGATGCGTGATCTGCTATTATTCTAACTGACTTATTTCTATCATTCGAAAAAATATGTTAATACTTAGAAACTATGATAAAGAAGCAACTGAAGGTTTACCGATGATCATACCATCTATCATTCACCCTATCCAGTGTCAATTAGAGAGTAAGATTATCACCACCAAAGCTTCACTCCACAAACATGGCTTATTATAAAATGGGTTTTCTTTTGCCAGCCACGAAATGTTAAGTCTGGAAAATCTATGAAAGGAGGATCTGCCTATATTGACTGTAAGATCTTTCTTAAGGAAGTAAGCACTTTATTTCTAAATAATGAAGGTAAAAATATGAAATTAGGATTTTTACTTGGCATCTGTTTAGTTCTATCTCTCTTGAAGTAATATTTAAGCTCTTTTTCAATGTAATTCATGAAATGGTGGTATTCAGGATCTATTCAATAATTTTTCTGTAGCTTGAATCTAGATTGCTTGAACTGTGATTGGGAAAATTGAAGGTTCTAGAATAGCTTTGTCATTTTATTGTAACCGCTTTGAAGAACATAGCTTTTAAGTCTGTTCGACATTCTTTCGAGATACTTACTCTAGCCATTTAATTTCCTTTTTAATTGTATGAATGTTGGACAATATACTTTGAGAGTCTTGTGTATTTGGACATTCATCAAGGAGTAATTTCGCAATAAGCATCGAATTTAATTCATATGCTGAAATATGAACTTCAAGCTTTTCTTCAGTGATTAATCTCTGTTTGAAATTATTCTCCATGAACATAGTGATTCAGGCATAATACTTATGTGGCCTTTCTTGAGGAATTTTGTTCATTGGAATATTCATTTACTGATTGAAGATGTTCTCAATGGTGTTTGCGCTTATCTTCTGCTTAAAATAGTTTACTGAGATTTAGTAATGGGAGGTCAAATCATCTTGGACTATATAGATCTGCATCTGAGTCCTATATCTCTTGATGTGTACTCTTTAGAGTCATCAGAGGGTTGCCTAAACCAAGCTCCTTAGCTTCTCCCATCAAGAAATTTTATTCCTCAAACTTGTTGATCCAATTTATGCTGAATAAATTCGATTTTTGGTCAGTTCTTTTGAAAATTTCATGGAGATTTTCAATAGTGGAAATCAGCTCTCCACTTGGGGTTTTCGGGGTTGAAGAATTTCTGAAGAATCAAATTGGGTATAAATTGGATTTTATATTGATACAATGTCATTCATTCTTGATCCTGTTTGCCATGCTGAAACATCAGAATTGAATTCTAATCCATAAATCTGAACTATGGTGTGCCAAAGCTCAGAATAAATCTGAATTGTACTGGTTGTTAACAATAAAGAGAGGATACCTCTGATTAAGGCATTTAATGTATAAGTGATAAATATCTGAACCATTACGCATATTAAAAGACTAAGATCGGGGGACTTGCTAATCTTCCTTGTTGATAGTTATAAGCCAGGAAGAATCTACCTCCAAAGTGAAAGAGTGCACATTCAACAACAACTGGTTAGGTAATTTAGATATCGCCATTCTTGAAATCATTCAGAATAAAAAATATTTTAATTCTGAGGGTTTCAGTAAATGGTTAGTGAAGTGGGGTTTTGGGGTTTTGGGGTTTTGGGGTTTTGGGG